TTGTTTTGATGGTTGATTGATTACCTTGTGACTGATTGATGGTTGATGGCACGGTAACTGGAACCGAGATAGAAGAATAACCATTTTCACCGCCGTCAAAATTGATCTCCGGGATCTCCAAACTGACGCCGTTACTAACACCGGGGAATTCCATTCTTTGTTCCGTTACCACCGGCACAGCAAAATCACCAAACCCTGATAGAGTCACGCTCGGATCATTATGAACCGGAAACAGAAAACGGTTCGGTTCAGTGATCACTACTTCATTGTTTTGAACCGGAAATAACCCGGTTTCTTTGTTAACCAAATCAAAACAAGAATCAGCATCACTAGGAGTAATAACGATCTTATCCTTCTTTGACAATTTAGGGTTTTTTTGAAGAACACGAAGCTTGTGTTTTGCTCGTGATTTACGGTTTTGAAACCAATAAAACACGTTTGCGTCACCGATTTGACCATATTCTTGAAGTCGGATCCGGATCCTTTGAATCTCGTCTCTTGGTGGGTTAACAATACCCGAATTGAAGATCGATTCAAGTATCCGAATTTGCTCTGGTTTAGGGTTCCATCTCGGTTTAGGATCCGGAACACGAGCTGATCCACAAAATGGTTTACAAATCATCATGCATGTCTTACCTTATTATATATTAGCATCATAATATAACTTGTAACCATAGTCAAAAACTACGTCCATTTTATAAATACAAAAGTATAAAAAGTTCATTTTATATATAAAAAAAAAAAGATAGTAGTAGCTGATATGAAATTGTGAATACCTGAAGAAAACGGAGAAGATGTGTTGCAATTATAATGCATGTAAGGTGCAGCATTGATGTCATGGTTATGATGATTATTGTTGCAGGGTTTGGATTTGAACATGCTTGGCCAATTTTTGTTTGAAGACATGATGATGGTGTAACGATTATGATTTTGAGGATGTAATGAATCGAGAGAGGATTTTTAGGGTTGATATAGGTTAAGACTTGAGAGAGAATGGCAAACTACTCTCCCTTTATATATTAGCCTCTTTACCTACCATTTGGTTTTGCATCTTACTTCAATTAATAATTAATAAAAAATAGTAGTAAAACGTAAAACTAGATGAAAATATACAAAATTAAATATTGTAAATATTTGTAAAAAAAAAAGGATTTCAGAAATTATAAAAATTGAACTTTGTCTACCTTCATTTCATCTTTTGGTATCTATTTAATTAGGATTAATTAAATGCGTTCTCTTTAAACTACATTTACAAATGAATAATCAAGCACCTATATGAAGTGGTAATTTTATTAAGAAGTGTTTTATATTAAATGAGATATATACAATTGATTTATTTTTGGATAATTTTTCGAACTTGTTTTTTTTTTTTTCATTTTCTTGATACTAATTGGGCAAATTAAGTAAGGTGGGGTTTTGGATTGACTCGAGGGATCATATTTATTCTACTCATTAATTAAATATTTCGTCAAACAAAAAGAGAGAATATGAAAAATAATTGATAATTACATGATGGATTTTCTTACAATGTAATTAATAATTAACCCAATATTCGCAATGTAACTAATAATTAACAAAATAACAGTGAGTTGTATTAAAAAAATGGATCTTGATGACTGGTGAGTGGTGACTTGTCACAATATGAATACGGCAACGTTTCACTCTCTAGTTTGACTATGAGGAAAAAAGACAAAGATTTAAGAAACTACGGAAAGACTTTCAACCAAAGTTAAATGTTTTGCCGTTTCTGTATTTTTCATTAGATTTTTATTGTTTTTCACTTGAACACAATTTTGGAAATGTCATAACTATGTTTTTGTTTCTTTTATCCTATCCTATAAAAAAAAATCAAGTATAAATTCCGTTACACACAATTTCAAAGTAACCCTAAACATGAAAAGTCCAACGTATAAAAAAAAACATGAAAAATCACACAACAAAGAATTCCGTTACACTTTTTATATTCTTCTTTCAAATTCAAGTTCACACATCATTAACCTTTTTATACTCCTTATATGAAGGTGTACACCTTGTGTCTTTAGTATAGATGGTCGGTTTATAAACATTGGGTTAAAAAACCTTTCGATATTCAAAATTCTGTTAAAAACAGAAAAAAATAAGACCACATATTAATAAATGATTACATAAACATAAATGTAAACGGTTTACGTGGATAAACAGTGAGAAGTAGAGTGGCCATTTTACATAGGGAGACAAATATATTTATTTCTTTTTGACTTATGGTTTATAATTTTGTCACATTTACCATTCCTACACGCTTCGTATCTTTTTGGCAGCTCCTCCACTTATATGATTTATCAAAATTGACACATTTTGTAGGGGGTTAAGTTTTGGGTTGGGTTATTTAGATTTTTTTTTTTATCATAAATAATTTGATCAAAACAAACCTCAAATCTAATTTCAATCAATTTTATTTGGAAAATATATTAGTCATATAGGTTTTTTCTAATAATTATTTTAGGGTTTTTAGTAGTAACATTAGGTGATTTTACATATGTTTAAACTTTAATTATCTAAAGAATCAGTCCAAAGTAGAGG